TATAACACAACTCATAATCAAATCAATCCAAGATTGGAAAAAATTAAAATCAATCAACGTTTGGTGAAGGAACGGCCAACTTACCCTATCATAAGCTTTTTTCAGGTCTATTTTAATGGCCATTTCTCCATTTTTACCTTTTCTTCTCTTAAGTGAATGAATGATTTCTTGGGTGACAATAACATTATTAACGGTCTACCTCCCAGGAATGAAGCTACTCTGATAAGGTAAGATAAGTTTTATCTAGAAAAGGCCTCAGTCTTGAGACAAGCAGTCTAGACACAATTTTATAATTGACATTACACAGACTAATAGGTCTAAACTGCGAAGGTAAGGAGGGGTTATCCACCTTAGGAATAAGGGCAATCCATGTGTTATTGATAACCTCAAGGCACTCTCTCCTACTAAAAATCTGATTGATTTGATGGCACGCGGAGTTATCAATGACATCCCAGTATCTATGGTAGAAAATAGCTTGAAACTCGTCAAGTCTAGGTGATTTAAGAGGTAAGAGGTTTTATACTAAAAACAGCTTTTTTTGATTTCAAAATCCATGACCTGGGCTTCAAGGATCTGTTTATCAATCTGGTCAAGCTTTGCTTGATGACTATACTAGTTGACATCAGTGAAAGTGCAGTTCTCAGATCCAAAAAGATTTTTATAGAAATTCTAGATAACCTCTTTAATTTCATTAGTCCCTCATACCCAAACTCCCGGGTCATTTTTCAAAGACGGTGGTCTGTTTCTTTTCCTTTTCACAATTGTTGACACATGAAAGAATTTAGTATTTCTGTCCCCAAGGGTAATCCAATTAGTTCTAGATTTTTGGTACCAGAGGATTTCCTCTTGTTCAAGGATGTTTTTGTAATCCAGTTGGATTTGTTCTTCAAGCCTTTCAAGATTATGTGAATAAAGATTATCTTGTGCTTTCTAAATTCCTTCTAATCTAGCCAAAATCCTTCTTTTCCTTTGATAAACGTCACCAAAACAATTTTTGTTCCATTCTTTGGTGTTTTATTCGAAAATTTTTGTTGCCAAATTAAAATCCTGGTTGGCTTGGTTCCAAGAATTAACTACCACATTTCTGAAATCCAGTTTAGTCAGCCACATTAAAATTAATATAATAATAAATTAATAATTATTTTAAAAATTAGCCAGAAAAAAAAATAAAGAAATCAATACAAAAAAATAATAATAATAAATAAAGTAATAGTTCAAAGACAAAGGAGGGGAGATGAGAGTAGTTCATGACAAAGACAAACTAATTCTTTTTATTTTTGTCTCACATCGGCAAATGAGGAGAGATGGAGAGGACTACCTTGCCTATAAAGACAATGGCCTCTTGCCTTTTTTTTAAACCTTCAAATTTGATTTTTATGTGAAATTAGGTTAGAAATTTCTCTTTTTTAAGGTAAATACAATTGACAGTAAAAAAAATAGTATATTAAAATTTGTTTATATAATTTTTTTTAAAACGAGTCGTATCGTACTACCCGTTTATTAAACATGTCGTATTCGTGTTGAAATTTTTCACCCGTTTTGAGATTTTTCACTCATTTATTAAACGTATCGTATACAGGTTTACATGTTTTTCACCGGTCACTTGTTTAATCTTATATGTTTTTCACCTGCCACCAATTTAACCTGACACGTAATCGTTTAATCCCACACGTTTGACACCCGTGCCTATTGCCTCACAGAGGGACCACTAGGGATCTCTCTCTAAGGGGACCAACCTGACAGTTATGATGACCTCGATAAAAGGTATAAATAGCTACAAAAAAACTAAGGACAAGGTACGTAATCTGACTGCAGAACAAAAATTATTGTTTTTTCCTTTCTCATCTCTCATACACTGACTTGACCGTCGGAGGGAATGCACCAAAAAATATTTCGGCACCCTTCTAACCCTTCCTTTGAGTGCTAGGAAACATCTACGACACGTCGAGATCGATCGAACAGCTAGGAAAGTAATTCATCACCATTCCTTAAACCATCTTTGACATCCCTTCGTCACGAGACCATCGACTTTCGAGATAAATATAAATTCATCAAGAGAAAGAATTATTTTTTTATTAATTGTGCGAAAATTATCGCGTACACCTTCCAATAGAACATAGAAGCGATTGCAATTTTGGTTCCTTGGTCAAGCAATTTCAATTCATTGAAATTTTGACAGAATAAAAGCCATGCTAAGAGTTGAAAGACAAGATTGATTAACAAAATAAGCAAGAAAGGGAAGCTAGTGAAAAAACTTGGGGACTGAAACTCAACGGGTGGGGGACAAATGGGCTCCGACGGGTCTCACATGTCATCCTCCATCTCCCGAGAGCACCAGATCGAGAATGTTCTTACTATCCTTGGTCTCTCGAGAGTACTAATAAACCGAGGCTGTTCTTCCCGTGGCCTTGGCAATCAGAATACCGGGGACGCCATGTCCTTGGTTCAAACAGTAGTGGCGGTCTGATTACCATGGGATCCACTACCGTCATCCTAACCGATTGACAAGACTAGGGGCACGGAATGACCAACTATACTGTCACATCTGCATGGGGTTAGCCCTTGCTTACGTGGACTGGTCCTGCGGTATCTCGGGGTGCATCAATTAGTGCTCAGTGTGCGTCACTTTAATGTCCGGGCCTAACCATTAAATGTTTGCAAATTTCATTAAATTTTTAGACCCCTAAGCCTTGTAATCATTGCGACGATTAACCCCAAGTGACCGTCGACTCTCCTTAGGCCGGTAAATGCATAGCTCAAGATCGAGGTAGCTTCTGACATACTAACCTCACAAGTGTCGCATCTATTAACTAAATGTAACCCTCTAAATTTCACGGTAACATCTCTCATGGGATAAAAAATTTAAAGAGTTGAGTCATAAGTATACACGTATTTGTTAAACTCAAATTTTACTGTAATATTCACACTTTCTCGACTAAACACCAACTAGCTTAAATATCAAGAGATACGCCAAATACATATCGGACCCTTTTCTAACTTTGTCCCTTAGTTCAAGAATATTAGACCCACTTCATCCAAGTACTGCTAGCTAAACGGTTGCACAGAGACAACTCCTCACATGCATTAATCCATCTTAGAGTGCACATGTCTGGATCACGTGGAGCCTGTTCACATTCCGCAAGCTATATCCGTTTGAAACATAGAAATTTTGGATAAAAAAGAACTAAAATATAGTAGTAGGGGCAATTCCTATGCGGCCTAACTTTAATGTTAAAGCAAAGACTTTTAGACTTATCACAAACCACCCATTAAGATAATGTAAAGTAAGGCAAACGTAATACCTCGTGGTACTTTTAGAACATGGAAACTAAAGTTGGTCATGCATGCGAGTGTTCCTCTAGGAAAACTTCATTTCCGATCTTTGTCCTAATTCGCAACCCGGGAATTGAACACAAATCTCCATTCTTACAATGTTTGACGAAAAATTTAAACAAGGATAATACTTTTGGATTAATTAAAAATGTGTTCGAAGATTGTATAAATTAATCGAGATAGAATGAGTATCACCCCCACTGAATTTGCCCGAGCCGCACCATTTCCTAATGTTCCGTTTGGTAGGAAGGATGGAAAGTAGGAAAGATAAAAATTAGGAGGGATACACTTTTTATCCTTCAAAAGATAAAAAGTATGAAATATACATTTTCCTTCATTTGTGTTTGATTGGATGGATGGAAATATATATATATTTTTTTTGTGCTGATTAAGATTAGGGGTGACAATCGAGTCATGTCGTGTCAGATTCGTATTAAGTCATTACGGGTTTGTGCTAAGTATTAGTCAAACCTAACTTAACTCATTTAACTAATTGTCGTATCGAGTTACAAATTGACCTGTTTATTTTCGTATCGAGTTCAAGTCGTGTCAGCGTGTTGAGTCGAAAATTTTTATCTTTAGTTAAGATGGAAAAATATATTTTTTTTAATTTTCAATTTTTTAAAAAAAAAATTTTAAAATTTTTTAATATATATATTCATTTTTTACTATTGTATTTTTATATAAAATTAATATATACATAATATATGTATATATAAAAAGATATATAGACAAATAAGATATATCTCAATACAAATAATTAACTTTCCATCCACTTTTCTTTCGATTTTAGAAGGATTGATTTTGGTGAGTTAGAAGGAAAGTTAATTTATCCACTTTTCCATCTTTCTTACTTCTTTCTTTACCAAATATGATATTTTATTTATCCTTCTAATTTTACATATTTTTAACTTTTTATCCTTCTATTTTTTTATCGTACCAAACGGAGTATCAGTCTTGCATTGTCAAGAGAGAAAAGCTACTAAATTCACCTTTCGGCACTCGTACGTTATCCAAGATAAGGCAGGTGGATTACCTTTGGATGTAATAAAAAAGTACGAAGATTTAGACATAGTTAAATTAGACCCTTATATATATATTACGTGCCTGTCATGTTCTAAGTCCATCATTGGTCCACAGAAAATTTGTGTAATGACAAGAGGGAAGAAAAGTATTGCATGACGATAGTTAAAGGACAGCTGACGCGTATGAAAATTCAAAAATTTCCCAAATACGATCAAGACGTATAATATATAGCATAATATATACATATTGTATCAAAAAAGAGTTGGATATGATTGAATGGGGAAATCTTTCTTTGTCAAGGAGAAGATGCGGGTTTGATTCCCGTTATCCGGCCAAAGGTGAAGTAATTTATTTAACATGAATTATGACTACATGAAAAATAAAAATCCACGTAAGTCTGAACACCATGCTTATAAAAAAAAAAAAAGAAAAGGTATGCACTTGAAAATTGACCGAACCATTTTGAACACTCGTGGCATCGCACATCCAAAGCTAGCTATTGGAATGACATTGAGTTTCACTTCGAAGGGTACTTCCATTCTTCTCTAAGGTTTTGAGTATGATTTATGAAAACAAACTGCTTCGAGAGCTTAGAGTAAGTCATTTGAATATTACAGTACGTGATAAATATACAACATAAACTACTACAAAGAACATAATGTATATATGTTGAAGAGAAAAGAGAAATGAATGACTTTAGGGTTTCATGTCATTGTGTACATGTCTTCGCCTGCGGGGCATCGAATAGTCCCCCGACCACCACCAACTCGCCGTCTGCCGGTCCACTTCTCTTCCCATTTCCTGACCCTGATTCTGCATTTCCATCACACCTGCAAATAAACAAACATTCTAATGATATCATAACTCATTTTATGGCAAAAGAATGGAAACCGTACGTGGTAGAAGAGCACTCCATAATCATATTCACCTGTGTAATGTTGTGGTCTAGCAGCAAGCTGGGTCGGCTGTTGAGCAAGCAAATAGAGACAAGCCATAATCCTAATGACACCCACTATCCCCATATTTTTAGCACACTTTCACACTCTCTCTTTCCATCAACACCACCACGGCCTATATATGACTAAAGCAAGCAAGGACCCACGTTCAAATATGAGAGTAATATAAATAGGTGGATTTAGCTAAATATAGATCGAATCCAATTCTTGGTAAGAGAATCTTAAACTCAAGATAGTTCAAGTAGTAATAAGAACAAGTTGTAAGTTTGAATTTTAAATATCCTAATTTTGACATAAATAACTTATTTTTGATCGAACTGAAAAAGAGATTAATCGAAATGCGCATAAACTAGCCTACACATCTTTGACTGTTAAAAAAAAAAAAAGAATCTTATAGGATTACAGGCTTGGCATGTTTTGGGGGGATTCTGTTTGTTTCTTTATGCGGCTCTAATTCTAAAGCATTGATTTTCAAATAAAGTTGAGGGTCCATGTGTTGTGTTGGAAAGAACTCTCGGGGTTAATCTCAGTCTGGCATAGCCACTTATTATTACTAAGCTACGTGTTGCTAAACCCAATACCTACACATGTTATGCATACTAAAAACATTAATCAAAAAGTATTTTACCAAATGAATTGACAATCCTGTATCCAATCAAAAATAGCATTCATGGATATAACAGTAATATAAAACTAACAACTTATTTGATAAAAATATTTTTTTGATAAAATTTTTGGTATGCATAGCTTTTTTCCCACCTAGTAATGGGTACCAGGTATCTGACTGGTTTGGCCCAACATTTTGACAGATCGGACATTGCCCTGATATACAATCTCTAAATCTAAATTTGTCAGACTGGTAAGACATGTCTACATTTCACTCGATAAAGATGCATAGCACGCTTAGTCGCTTACCCTTTTAACCTTTAAACTAGTGATTTAAAAAAGAGTAAATGCTATACAACCCAAATAGAACCCAAAAAAAATGTAACCCGAAATATAAACTGCAGTGATTTTGATTTTGTGCTTGCCAAAATGCTGACCTGCACTTTACTCAGCCTGTAGCCCACTCATAAATCATAACCAAAAATGCATGGTCCAACCAGAGGAAACCAAAAAAATTGTCAATCCAACAATACAACCAGTTTATTTTACTTCAAATAACCTAAAAGAAAAACAAAGAATTTGTTATTCAAATGTAGTCTCACTGAATAGCCATTGGCTTTGGTTTACAATCGAGACACTGCCTCAAGAATGGCAAGAACCTCTCTGTTCATGCATTTGTATGGCAATCATTGATACATGAAAAATATTTTTAAAAAAAATTGCACCTTTTGGTTGAATCGTATCATAATAATCCCTGAAATAGATATGGTGTGGACATAGTCTTCCTTCTTGAAAAGCAATCAATGACAAATTAGTGGCCATTTTGGTGGGAAAATTGGAGTACCAGATGGTTTTGCTTTGACAGGCACACGGTGAATACCGTGTATCAAGGAGCTCTGTCAAAGGGTTTAGTATCATTGTAGCACACATCCCAGACAGCTTCCATGGCATCCTTCGCTGCCACTTCTGAGCAGTAAGGGTTAGCAATCACTGATTTCATAACTCTTCTTCTCACACAATCCTTCAAAAATAACAATACACAGGCGCTAATTATTGGAAACAGTTAACACTCTGAAAACTAGCAGTTCATTCTATGGTCGTATGTGTGACATGCTATTACTTCTAGATTGCTCTCATTGATGGATAATGCAATGATGGTATTTTTGGGCAATCAGCATGCAATTTGTTGGTCATAACAGTGGTTGTGTTTAGGAGTGAGTGACCATAGCAGGGACAAACTAGCATATAGTTAAGGACATTCTAGGAAAGACAATTTGATTGATATGGGAAGGGATTGTTTATGGAGTTGTAAATTTGGCAGTAAAAACAGCAAAAAAATATCACAATAAAGCATTTTAAAGTCGGCAATTCTTTTGTCTTCAGGGCTTCTCTTTCTTATATGGGTTATCACTCTTTAGAACAGGTTTTCAAGTCTCACCGGCCATCCCCACACCACCATAAAAAGGGAAAAAAAAAAATAGGGGTAGAAATTCCAGGACTACGGAGTGAGAGTAAGGACAAAGTTCGCAATGTCATCCAACATTATTTAGATTGCATAGTCTCTTTATGCCTCTTTTTCCCTCTCTACTTTTTCTTCAAATCCATTCATTCTGCACAATATGGTAAATGACAGGTCCAACTAGACCTTGTGGTAGTTTGTACGTTATCCCTCATCTATAGTAGTATTTACACACATAAAACCTTAAAAGGCACTGTCAAAACTTTAATATACACCTGACTATCCCCAATATAATATATTCATGTTGCATTTTTTCTGCCAAGGATGTGGGTTGGGGGAGATTCTACATATAATACCAGTCACAGATTACCTAAATACTGGCACTTAGAATCTTCCCCGCCTTTAAAAGGTTACTTGTTTTCTGGATATAATTTTATATAGACTTCCTAGATATTGCTTGACCAATGGAAATTCCTGTCCCTGTATATGATTGCAGTAAATTATACAGAAATATGTCTCCTAATAGAATGATATTTTTTAACAAGCAAAAATTTAAACAGCATTTATACTTTCAAAGTTTATAAGAATGAAAATCACCTGTTCATGACCTCGTATTTTCATAAAACCCCGCAGCAATTCTCGTTTATAGTGACAATCACCACTAAGATGGCCCGCTCGAATCTGTTTCATGCAGATATGAAAACTAGCAAAATTAAAGAAACTTTTGACAAACAAGATATAGGGGAAAACGGATAGTTGAGGAATACAAACCTCACTACAAGCATGATGAGCACAGTTAGACCAATCCAAGTTCGCAGCACGACAGTCATCATATGCATGAATGAGCTCATGGATCACTACTTGGTTGACCTCATCTTGGATGTTCATGTGATTACTACACACAATTATCTAAAACATGCAAACACAAAAAAGAAAGCATACAGAGCGTCATGTCATCAGAGAATTGGGATCATGGCACCAAGACTAGAATGCATGGAAAAAACACACACTGAGAAAGGGGTGGAGAAAGATTGTATACGTAATAGAACATAATGCATCAAATTGACTCTCAAAGATAGACACAAAGATTACCAAATCTAAAACATACAGATGGTTCCACAAGGTAATTCCTCAACTTCAGTATCAAGCTTCTAGATGTGAGTTATAAGCACACTCAAGCACCAACTTACAAGGTATAGGCAAAAATTAGTTCATTTTTATTGCTTAAAATATGCAAAAAATATTGAAGTTAATGTTTTCCAAAGTTGTTTCATGAAGTGATCACAGGATATAATCTTCACAAAGATAAATTCAGTCATCTGCGAAATACCGACAAGTTGAATTAAGATAAACACACTCTCCCGAGGAGAGGCATCACAAGGTTTTCACTACAATAAACAACAAGGCCTAACTTTCAAAGGTGTAGAACACCAGAAGAACCTCATTAGCTCAACCCAATATTCTTGAAAGTTCAATTTGTAATTTTGTAAAAAAAAAATGCAAAATTTGATAAACAGTGGCCTATTTGACGACTAACCCATTAAAACGATTTGCACTGGCCAAATTACTTTTAAATTCACAGAGCCAGTAAAAGATCAGATTGCGATCAACCATTATAATGATAATCAGCCTATGAACATGCAAACCATGTTCTCCATGGAGTGACAAAATTACCTAAACACAACACCACACTCATTAAGGAACTATGGGAATCATAAAGTAAATAAGCTTGACCCCTAATCAGAAACCAAAGCCCATTATAAGAATTGAAATCACTTCAACTTCCATAGATGTAATTAGAGGATGAATACCCCTTCACCACGGACATAACCGCCACTGATCTGCTTGTCGCAATGAACGGCCTTTATGAACTTGTCACCTATCCTGCAACCTGCTTTCTCCATGTGTTCCTTCAAAAATTTTACCATTGGAACTGCAATTACATATATAATGAGATGAAAAACCCAAAACCCTAAACCCCTAGTAAGAAACAAGAGGGAGAGATGAGAGAGAAACATACTTCGGAGGCTTCTTCCAATCATGTCCTGGCATTCTTCCACAGTTCTTCCGCCGTTCACGGCCGATGAGAAGCCGCCGGAGCCAGGTTTGGAATTGGGCTCCTCCGCCATTTGCTTTTCTCCTCCGCTTTCTTGGCGGAGGTGGTGGCTAATACGGATGCCTCAACGAGCCTTTCCTGGTCAACTACTGGACCAAGTTCTAAGTTCTAAGTCCAGTATCCTTGGGTTGGGGATTATTTTATGATTGGGCCTTATCTGTCTAGACTGAGAGTCCACCAATACTGGCCCATGCCCAACAACCTTCACGTCTGCTTGCTGCTCTCACATGGCCCAACAACCAATACTAGCCTTTAAAAACTCAAACATCTCATCATCAAGATAGTCACTACTGTTTTTTTAAGAGATATGTTCTAATTTAATTCAAGTCATAGTGGTTGGCTATTGAGATCGAGAAAATAGTTGGTACAAGTCTGAATACTTGTAGCACCAAATAAAAACATTAGTGATCTAATTTGGTGCGTCAATCTAATTGGTTGTGGGGATCTTCAACCAACTTTAGGAACATCCACCCACAAATTATAAAAATGTGGCAAAAAAAATTCTCCATTGCTAAATTTGAATACAAAAAATTTATGAAAACTCCAAATTAATTGATGGTCAACTGCATGAAATTTACCTTTGTTCCGGTTGTGACTACCATTAGACTCGGTCAAACTAAACCACATATACCTCCCAACTTCCATAACAAAATAGCCAACCGTTTATTCTAATAGCTAATTGTCCTAATGTCCCCATAAATCCCCGCCTTCTCCGCTACTGTCCTTCCCCTTCAACCCTATTTATACACCACCATCCCTCCACCAGATTACTCATTCTTTGGTTTCGCAGTGTTTCTTTGAAGAAGTACTGCAATCTCTCAGAATCAATATATAATCACTTCTCTTCTCACTTCTCCAGACAAAAATGGCACGCCAATTGGTTGTCCTTGCTCTCATCTTTGTCGCCCTTGTTGGGTTGGTTTCTGCCGAGGCACCTACCACTTCCCCCGCAGCATCGCCTAAAACTTCTCCTACACCACCATCATCATCATCACCACCACCCGCTTCTACCCCAACTGCTAGCGACGCAGCAGCTACCCCAACAGCATCAAGCAGCACTCCAGAGGCATCCACCACTGCCCCAACTTCATCAGAGACCGCCCCCACTACCTCTCCTAGTGCCACTTCTCCTTCTACCTCGGACTCGGCTACCCCAGCCTCCTCCCCCGACGGGGAACCCTCATCTCCACCAGCCCCCGCCAGTGAATCCACCGCACCAACCGCTGATAGCACTGTATCTGAAGGACCAGCAGCAGCAAGTGCACCTACTCCTGACGCTTCTGAGACAAGCGGCGCAACCACTTTGAAGGTTTATTCCGCTGTTTGCGCTGCCACAGTGGCCGGCTTCTTCTTCTTCTAAGTTGTGAAAAAAGTTTAGATGTTCAAATTTAAGTGATTCTTTCGGTTGTGTTGTGTGTATGCATTTGAGATGTCCTTTTATTCTGTAACATTAGAAAAAATGAAGTCCCTTTAAGAGGAAGCCATTGTTGGTGACCTCTTTTAATATAACCATGATCATTTGGTAAGTGTATGTAATTTTTGGGGTCACTTCAACATGTTGAGAATTCTTTGTTTTTTCATCTCACAATTTGTGCAGTGCAAATATTACGATGCATGACCAAAATTAATTGCGAAGATAGACTCGTATAGCCGACCCTAAATAATTGAAATAGAAAAATTGGTTTGGTTGATTGGTAATTTGTGCAGCGCAAGAAAATCAAATTTGACTGAATGTTACACTATTACCCAACCTTTCCGAAATTATTTGGTCAAAATTTTTTTTTACATCCACAAAATAAAATTAACTCTCATTGAATTTTATGGTGTAATTAATGAATGTTATACTATTGCCCCACCTTTCGCTCGAATTTGTTATGGTGTTTTGCTTATTTGTTCAAAACGTTGATATGAAAATCCTGGGTTATTTTTTTCTAAGCACATAGTTCTGAATGTGTCAAAAAAAAAAAAAAAAACAAGTGCTTCTTTGTCATGGCTAACAAATTGAGAAGTTGGTGAATATTGTAGTTCTAGTTTTGTGCTTGGCTTATAGTAATTTTTTTTTAATGTTGTGCTAGGCTTAATGTCTTTTGGTGAGATGCATTGATATAACTAAAATTTTTCACTAGATATTTGCTTATTCATGCTTGTGAATAAGATAGCCTATCATACATTATTAATAATCTTGAACTCATGCCTTGAATGTTGAATGCATGATGTCATTCAACAGAAAAATAGTCATTTAATTGGTGAGTTTTATTTAACAAATGCTTTCAGGTACGGGCTTTTTGTTTATCAAGGTTTATGCTCTGACGACATACCACTAGTCAAGTTGTAGTATAAAATGCAGTAAGTAGAAGGAGAGAGAAGACATGATTTATAGTAGTTTCGGTCAATATGACCTATGTCCACTTTTAATAACTAGGTTCGTCGGAATTTTATTATCTCCGATGTGGAGGGAGAGCACATGATTACAAGCTTTGAGAGGGGAGGAGAGAATTATTCTCAAATGAGTCTAATGCCCCCCAAGTGTCAGATGAGCTTACAATTTATAGTGGTTTGACGTAGTAATTGTATGACTATTCTGACGGTCATTATGGCTTAGAACCGTTTGATAGTAATTAGATAGCTGATTCGGTGGAGGCGATCTATCATCTTCTCAACGGGCGAGGTGTGACGGTTGGTGTGCTCTCCAAAGAACTTGGTCAAGGATGAGGGAGGTTGATTCTCTCTAAGCTGCGAGGGTGAGGCTCCTGGATGCTCCTTGGTGGCATAGAGGAGGCTTTTGGATGACTCTTACTCTAAGGTGGTAGAGGAGACTCTTGGATGACTCTCTTGGATGACCTTTACTCCCAAGGTGGTAGATGAGGCTCTTAGATGACCATGCATGCTCCCCTGCTGATGTAGTTTCTTGATCTTGATAAGGTTATCAGGTGTAGACTCTTTTGGGTTTAACTAGCTGGATCTCTTGGAATTGGGCCTTTAGCTCGGACTAGTAGCTTATAACATGGGTTGGGTCTGGCCCATCATTTGCCCCCCAATGTCTTGCGTCCAACAGAACTTGGAAATGAGGGCATTTAAATGAATTTGAATTTTCAGCTGAC